TAATTAATAATTACGTAAGTAATAATTATGAGGTGTGATCAAAAAATATGGTGAATGTTTAAATTTTAAAAATGTATTACAATAAAAGACACATTGCCATTCATCCCCCTCAAAACACTCCCCCTCTCTTCAAACACACTATCCCATCATTCTTGCCACTTGCTGAAGCAGTTCTGGAAGTCCTCTTTCGTGAGTGTCTTTAGTTGCGCTGTCATGGCTGCCTCGATGTCCTGAATCATTTTGACTTTGGGGAAGAACCAGAAGTCACATGGTGCCAGGTCCAGTGAATAAGGTGGATGAGGACACACCACAATGTTTTTATTGGACAGAAACTGCCATACCAGAAGCCATGTGTGACACGAGTGTTGTCATGAGGAGGATGATTTACGGCACACTTTTAAACACACCTTCTCTCAACTGTAGCTCACACCTGACTGACTGCACCGAACAAGCTGAAACTTGTCACACACTGTCACTAAGGTTCGACGCGCCGCTTTCCATATTGAAGATCCCTGCCTTCCCGTTGGATGGCACTTGGCAGCCCCATTCACTGTATTTTGTGATCACGCCTTGTATATTTTTTTTTCAGAAAGTTCTTAATTTTAGTTTTTTTCTTGAGTATAAGCAATGAATCACTTTAAATATAATTTAATGTTAATATTAAGTTTAAAAAGATTTTCTTGTCAGAACAAGAAAATACTACATTTAAAATTTTAACAAAAAAATGTTTTCATTCCTGATATTAAAGTTATTTTAATTTTTGAGTACTGAATAGTGGCCTATTTGTTATTTATTAATGGGGATGTTGCTAAGTATTTTGTCAAAATCAGCATCCCTTATGCAACTTCAGGAATTTGTGTTCAAAGATCTAAAATGAGAAAACTGCAGTTTCTGTGTCTGACCAGTTTATTTGCTTGCCTTCTCCAGCTAAGCCAAATTCCCAAGCTTTTTATGTTCAAATTTTAGACCTGTCATGTTTAACCAAGTAAAGAAAATCCAAGTATAAATGCTGTCAGACTGTTGGCTCTGACAACAATAACAACCAAAGAACTATCTCTATGTCTGTATCTGCCTGTTTTCTACTCAATTTAAAGTCAGATGAATAGTATGCATGGATTCATATTTCAAAGAAACACAGTGCATATAGTTTTCAAATATACAAACGTAAATTAATATATATTATACTGGGAAATAAAAATTGGCGCTGTTTTATGACCTGTATTATTTGTGTTATGAGAAATAGAGATTAAGGAAAACAAAGCACGTTGCACATTTGCCCGCAGCTTTCCAGAAGTATTAATTCAATTCTGAATTTGGTGTTCAGTGCTTCTGTGTTTTCTCTTTGACAAGTTTTCCCTCTAGAAGCGACCAGCTTTGTCACAAAAGAGCCAGCAGTTAACGGCTGACTGCACTTTCTCCCTGTGGTGGTGCCATCGGACTGTTCTGATGGCTGAGACTAGTAAATATGATGTTTTTAGATTAACAGATGAACTCAGGGTAGGCGTCCCTCTTTGAGGAGACCTAACTTAGCTGGTGCGTGCCTCGCTCTGAAACATAACTAACTGCCGATGGGGACAGAAGCAGGATCCGACTTCCCCCGCTGCCGTTTTTGCATCACTGTATGTGATTGAACCCCCACTGTCCGGCCCACACGGAGAGGGTTAGGCCTGGGGTCAACTAAACTGCAAAAATTTTAGCCTCAGAAATACCTTCTTCCCCCTTATAAACCTTATACTTAATGCCTTGGAATTTAACATTTTATTCTAGATAAGGACTGTTGCACTGTTTCCATTTAGGAAAGCCCATTTATTCATGGACTTGATTTTACCTTTGAGCAAACTTCAGAAAAGAGTGACTGCCAAGATGTGCTGTAACCTGTTTCCTCGGGTGCTTTTCTCATTTCTTCCTAAAAGCATTTTAGGGATGACTGTAATTAGGGTAAGTGTATGCAGCCGGTGGCAGTGACAGAGCAGCCACCCAAGAATGACAAGAACGTGGTGCGCGTCTCGGTGGCAGCTGGCGCCGCGCTCTCAGGGCTGTCCGGCCGTGCGGCCTGGGCTAACGTGTGGTGAATAGAGCACCCTGGATTCCTCTGGTGTAAAAATGAATTGACAGTTACTTGTAGGGAGCAGCTAATGTCAGCTTTTGTAAAAGTAACCACAGTTTTCAGCCCTTGACACACTTATCAAGAAGAGGATGGAAGATGGCTACTGCTGACTGCCGGAAAGGGCGTGAAGAGAGCTGGATGGCATCTGTCCCGCTGGGACACGGCCCCCAGGCTGCGCAGACAGCTGTGTAGATGCAGCAGCACCCCAGGCCTAACAGTTGAAGAGCTCACAGTGTTAACGTTGGCTCACTGTCCTCAGGGTCATCGTAAACGTGGCCGTCCACGCAAAGACACATCGCGTAGTTCGGTTAATAGACAAAAAGTGTAACGATTTCAGTGAGTTCTGGTTTTCCAGTTCCCTAGTTTTTATTAAAAAGAGTGCAAGGGGGTAGGGAGGCAGGAATAAGGGAAGCAAATGTACACGTTTTATCCCAATAAGGATGATGCTGGTTTTTCCTGCTATGTCAGCGACATCGTTCATTCAGCGTTCTTCTCACCTGGTCACATGGCTGGCTACAACTGTTGGGGATTGTTTTGGAATTGTGTGTTGCAAGAGCAGTGAACTCGGCCGAATGGCTTGGCTTTAACTGTTACCACGTGTTTGCTGGCGAAATGCTTTTGTGAGACTGGGATTGACTAAAACAAAATCATACGCTCGATCATTAGGCTTGCATCTGAGCACCTCTTGAATTGTTCAAAAAATAATTCATTCCCAAGTGATGACTGTTTCCTAGTACGCGTGAGTAGTGGTCATCATACTGAGAGCATTTTACGTCAGAACTCAAAATTAGCTCTGCGTCTCCCGTGGCACCGGAGACGCCCAGCCCTGCTTAGCGCCACAGCTCTGATCAGAGCACCTGGGATCCCACGCCTGCTGCAAGCTTTAACCTTGAGATGGTGGCAGAAAGCAGCCGTTTCCTCCTGCTCACACTGTGATCTGCACATTTCATTTTGACTTTGACAGCACGGAAATCCACCTTATTTTCATAGACTAGCCGTCTGAGTTTGTTAAGTAGACGCACCGTTATTTACGCTCATTAAATGCAGGTGATGTGGCAGCCACCCAGTGAGGAGCCTGTGACGCTGTGTCTCTGAAGGAAGCCAGTCCTCAGTCGTGACCCAGCTTTCTTTACTGTGCTGAATGACTGAACAGAGCCAAGCTCTGGGCTTTCTCAGAAAGCCTAAGCTTAAACGGCGGCAGCAGGCACCTCTGACCCTCACAAGTGGAAGAACACCCTCGCCCTGCACACAACGGAAGTTACAGGGCAGTATTTGTGCAGCTGTCGTTTTATTGCAGACATGCACGGGTACACTGAGATTTGGTGACAATTTCTGTCCCGAAACGTGGAAGAATGCCTCGTATCTGGCAGAGTAAAAGCTCAGAAACAATTTTTGGAAAGACGTACCGTGTGTCACGTCTCTGAAGGACGCACAGACTAGGAAACATGGTGCCTGTTTAGCCATGTTGATGAGACAGAAATCCCACTGACTGAGGGTGCATGGGTGTCAAAGTTGGTTCCGGAAAGCAAACTGCGCTGCACGAATTCCAGGGTGACCCTGCGGGACAGGCTCAGGAGAGGGGGCCACAGTGTGTTTAATGTCACACGCTCCAGAAACACGGGGTCTGAGCCTCACTCCCAGTCACCTGCATTATGGGCCCTCCGAGCTGATACAGAAAACCCACGGTCTGCAAATGACCATCTGTGATTATGGGTGATCAAATGCCCTCTTTCTCTGCCTTGGAGAAATTTTGGAGACCGGTTCAGAAAAGATATGAGTAGCCAAGAACAACATCTGAGGTGGGTAGAATTGGAGTTAAAAAACGGACATTGTATCAAGTCTGTGAGCTTGGGGCTCATGGCTTCTACCAGCCCCGCCTGTGGATGTTGGTGGTTTGTGTGACAAATGTTCCTGTGAATCCAGTTTTCCATATGGTGATCGTCACTGCATGCTGAGGACAGGTCTAGCAGAGGCCGTTGTCCTTTTGTGGTGACTTCAGATGCCCCTGTGTCCTACAAGTGGTTGCTTTTCCCACCCCCTGTAGCGCCCCGTGAAGGCCACGGCACCCCAAGTGGTTTGGAAAATAAGATGGAGTTTGCCATCTGTGGGGGCAAGTGGGGAAGTGGAGGACAAAAAAAGTGTGGAGGGTCCACATGTGGGGTTTACTTTAGAGTTTAGGGTGCACAGTGAGTGTTTTCAATTCAGAAGAGAGAAACTTGTTTCGCCTACTTTCAGTGAAAGCCCAGCTCGTGGTAAAAGTTCAAGTATTAGTTTGAGGAACTAGCAGGTCATTTTATTGGAAGTTCTATTTGCTGTGCATTTTGGCTTACAACTTGGTAAATGGACGGTGGAGACTTGGTTTAGAGGCAGCCCCGTGAAGGCTGTCTAACGGGCTGGCCGGAGCACGGTGCAGAGCTTTCCTGTGAAATGGAGGACAGAGCAGCAAAGAGGGTTTGCTGGACTCTGAAGGGATCGCCCTGCCGCCCATGGTAGCGATGCAGGCACGCGAGGCGTCTGCCTGGACGAGGGTGCGAACAGATGTGCGAGGAAGACCTCCCAGCTGTTAGCGCTGGAGACTGGCCACGTGGATAGATGCCATTTACGTGCATTCACCATCATAAGATCGCTTCACTTTGTCTCATTCAAGCCTCTCAGCCACTTTATAAAGTGCAGGTGCTGTCACCATACAAGGTGGTTAATCTGAGTACAACCCCACACTTCACAGTCATCAGAACCAGACCCAAACCTCAAGTCTGTCCCTGAGGACACCGACTCTGCAGAGGCTGAGGCGATGTGAGGCTAGCACATGTTAGGAGACAAATGCCCTCCACAGGTCTGGCTTAATGCTGCCCGTTGGCTCACGTCTAACACAAACTTTCTTTCCTTTTTTCAGTGCGACTTCATGACAGCATATCAGAAGAGGGCTTCCATTACTTGGTGTTTGATCTGTGAGTACAACACACTTGTGTTCATTTCTTTTTTGCTTTCTCTTTGAAGACCATTTTGAGTTAAACATGTTTTTTTCCAATTTATAGTCCAAATTAATGACCCTATAATTTTGTAAAATGTTCTTCAAATAACATTCAACTCTAATTCTTTTGAAAAGCGGTGACAGCTCCGCAGTGTTTGTTGAAACCTTAAGTACGGAGCCTGTTCCCTTCGGGACTGTGGGTTGTGATGTTGTTAGCAGTGTTGGGTTTTACCTCGGGGCATAACAGTGGCTGACCGATGACTTTCCACTGAGTGTTTTAAAAGTAGGTGCAATTTGTTACTTTATATGAGAAGACGCTGAGAAAGGAGCCTTGAGGCTGTTTAATTCAGAGGCTCGGAACACCCTCAGCCTCACACCTCCCTGCCTGCCCGTTGGCTGGTCCCCCGACTGACTGAGTTCAGCCTCCTACTCATGGAAATGCCCAGTAGAAGCATCGTCTCCTTCTTCTCAAGAATAAAAACCTTACCCAGAAAAATGGGAGTATTTCTCCTCATTGTCAGGATTGGGTCACATGCCTACCTCTGACCAGTCACTGGCTGGAGAAGTGGGGTTACCAAAATTGGCTTGGACTAACCAGGATTTGTACACTGAGATTCTGTCAGCAAGCGTGAAGGGACAATAATGACTCTGGGGGCGCAGTCCACAGCATCTGCTCTGGCCGGCAGGCTCCAGCGGGGCAGGCCACACTCATGGCTGGTAGCGGCTAATAAGAACCCTGTTTCTGGAAATCAATTTGATATATCAGAAACGTTCGTAGCATTTGACACAGTTCACTTCCAGGAACAAAGTCCATGAAGAGTATACCCTAAATTCAGATAACACTCTGTGCCGTCAGATGTCCATCTCATCGTCTTGCATAAGGAGGAAAAACAAAACCAACCAGCCTAAGGACCCCATCATAGAGAAACGGTAGTGTAATTACAGTGGATTCATAGACTGCACTGCTCGCTAGCATTTTCATGTGATGTTGGGAAGTAGATAAGAAGAAATTACTTCATGTAACTGAGCTGAAGGTAGGGTAGTGCTGGGTTTCGTTGGTTCAGCCCTTCAGTGACAGTCAGGAATCAAGTTCTTTCTGTCCGTTCTTTGTCGTACACGGGCTTGTCCTCATTCTCTGACTGCCTGATTCCCAGGTGTCACACTGCCTTCCGAAGTCAGAAAAAAAGGAGAACATTAATTCCGTTGCATATATTTTTATCCACAGGGAAAGTCTTTCTCATCCGTCCCTCAGAAGCTAGTATTAATCCTCATTTCGACCTGCGTCGCACGCTCACGTCTGAAGCAGGCGTTGGTGAAGGGAATAGAATTACCCTCGGCTTTGACCAGTCGGGAAGCCAGTCTGTGCCTCCCCCGGATCATCACATCAGGGCTTTGTTTTCAGGACAGAAGGGGTCCTGCCTGCTGGCTGGGTGGCCAAGCATACCCGCCATGTTGGTGCCCCACGTGCGTGCTGGAGGTGGGACCCTGAAGCTCTGACTGTGCGCAGCCCTCTGCACGGCCACCACCGGCACAGCCCACTGGGGCCCTCACGTGGCTGTGGCCTCGTCCTTTCTCCTCAGTTCTTCCCCAGCTCACGTTTTGACTTTTTCTATTGTTCTGTCGTCCTTACTGATGTTCCAAGATGCCTTCTTCTTTAAGAAGCCCCTGTAGCCCTTCGTTTAGGGTAGGCCTGCCAGCAGCAAATTCTTAAGTGTGCCTTTTCTGAGGCTGGGATGACCCCCCTCACTCCTGAAGGATATTTTTGCCAGATGAAGAACTCGGTTGACTTCTGTTTTCTTTCGTTGTTGTGGCAATTCCCGCTGGGTCCTTTGCTTTTTGATGAGAACTCTTCTGTCATTCCAATTGTTTCTCCCCAACAGGTAAGGTGTGACCTCTCTCTGGCTGCTTTCAAGTTCCCTGTTTGTCTATATGAGTGGCTTTCAGAAGTTTGACTATGATGTGTCTTGGCTTGGATTTCTTAGCGTATATCTTTTCTGGTGTTTAGTTAACCTCTTGAATATACAGGTTTATGTCTTCCGCCAGACGGGAAAGTTTTAGACATTGGTTCTTCTAACCGTTTTTCGGCCTCACCTTCTTCCTCCTCTGCTCTGAGAGCTCCTTTGTCTCACAGGTCCCCGGGCTCCATTCATTTTATTTCTTTTCTGTTGTTCAAACTGGGTAACTTGTATTGTTCTGCTATCAAGTTCGCTGATCCTCCCCTCAGTTTTTCCTGTTCTGCGGTTGAGCACATCCATTGAGTTTCTCATTTCAGTTGCTGTACTCACTGGAGCATTTTTACTGTGGCTGAGAAGACGTCCTTGTAGGGTGATCCCTGCTGCATCGTCATCTTGGCATCGGGGTCTGCTCGTTGTGTTTTCTCCGTCATGTTGAGAATTCCCTGGTTCTTGACAGGATCCGTGATTTTGTATTATGTCCTGGACATCTGGGTGTTATTTAATGATCTCTGGATTTAATTTAAATCTTTGTAGCACTCCTCCTCTGACACCACGCTGGGTAGGAGGTGCCATCTTACTCCTGGAAAGTGGGGGTGGAAGCCCCGGGTTCCTGCTCAGCCTTCTCGGTCCTGGGGCCATCCTCCTGCTGCTGGGCAGGGCCCGGAGCACAGACTTGTTTTTTCTGTATTTAGTGAGAGGAGTGCATCTAGCCTGTTTCTCAGACCTGTTGCTATTTCTTGGTGGATTAATTTGTCAGATCTCCTTTCTAAGGAAGGCAAGGGTGCGGTGTTATAAACTGGAGCCTGTTCTTCGTGACTCAGAGCTGGGTCCAACCACGGCTCCCTCAGAGACTAAAGCTTTTCCTCCACCCTCCTGGGTTCAGTACATGAAGCCATGGGAATGAAACTAACGCAAGATGGGTTAATAGGAGAAAAGGCACCCAATTTTTGTTAATATTTATGTGCACGGGAATTCACAGAAAAGAAGTGAAACTGAAAGTAGCAGGGAGACGGAGGTGCCCAGTCCTCGTCTTCGATGACAAGAACCACTCTTCTGCCCCCTGTACGTGGATGGAGTGGGCACCTTCCTCAAAGGGAAGTGTACACCTGCTCTTAGGCAGATAAGGGGCAGCAAGCGCTCTTCCTGTGTTTGTTGATTCTCAATTGCCTTGAGCACAGAGCAGTGATTTTATGCCAACGCGGCGTTTCCTGGGGCCGCATATTCTGGGGCGCATTATGGGGTGACGTATTCTGATACCTTCAGCTCCAAGAAGCACTTCAGTGTCAGGTCAAATGCAAAAGGAAGGCACCCTTCTTCCCAGGCCAGGCCTTTCCATAGCCGCCGGGTTATTTATTGTCACGCTTGCGACCAGACACGCCAAGAACGCGACAGAATATGCTATGCAGAGAGCGGGGAGGCGGACGGACAGCACGGTCCGACCCACATCCTCGCTGACCTCAGTCCTTTATTAGAGACAGAAGAGGAACAGGTGGCAGGAAGTAACCAGCACACCCCTAAGGCTAAGGGAGAAATGCTTAGTCTAAGGGTTGTTTTTTAGCTCAAGAGGAGCGAACCAGTTTCCAGGACTTTGGCTGAGCGCTCACTGATTTCAGTGGGGCTGGTCCCAGCCTCTCTCAGTTAACCCTCAGTTGACCTCCGAGCTTTGGCTCAAGGCAGCAACCTTACACTCTTGGTTTTGGGGGCCAATGTGAGGGAATCCCTAACATGCCCCTACAATTTATGTCCACATTTTAATTTTAAAAATTTCTCTCTTCCTCACTAAATGGAGAGAATGATAAGAATCACATAGTTTTTATTTACATACACTTGTTATACAATCTTATATTGGTTTTGTTAGTTTCAGGTGTACAATACAGTGATACAACATTTTTATACCTTACAATGTGATCACCCCACTAATTCTAGTCATCATCTGTCATTGTGAAAACTTATCACGATATTATTGACTATATTCCTCTTCCCCTTTACACTCATCCCTCCCCCCCTTCCCTTCCGGTAACCATCAGCATGTTCTCTGTATCTTGGAGTCTGTTTCTGTTTTGTTCGTTCATTTATTCTTTTCTTTTTTTTTATTAAATTATTTTTTATTATGAAATACACATTTTTTAATTAGTTTCAGCTGTACAACACAGTGCAATAGTTATACTTTTTACCCCTCGAAGTGACAACCCCCTCCCCCAATCTGCCGCCCCATTTCCCCCCAATATCATACATATCTATTACAAATC